GTTGTATTTACATAAAAAAAACAGCGAGAACTTAGTTGCGTACCTAATATATGAAAAAATGATTGCATCATTTTATATAAAAAAATGACGTCATTAAGTCGTCGTACATATGACGTTATCGGTCTGTGATTTAGGACCGTGAAAAAGACATCATTATTTGGTTAACTTGAAGGATAAACGACGTAAAATTCACGTCATTATCACAGCTGTCTGCTACCTAAGCTAGAATTAATTTTGATATATAAGGATATCTTCAGGATATTGGTAAGATCAAATATTGTTATCTACGCATATCCTACTGATATTCAATTATTACTTCCTACGGACGTTCAAAAAGCAGACATACTGATGTCCTCAGTACATCCCATGTATATATTTTGGTTTTTACGGACGCGTTCTGGATATCACTAAATCCCTTGTGATACATTTATTGGACATACCTAGGATCAATTTTTGTTATATGGGTTCTGTACAACTAGGATATTGGTTCTTATTGTATCACGTGCGCAGAATATCTAACAGGCAAAATACATACATAATTATGCTTCACGAAGCATGATCATGTTCCATACAGCACAGAAACTTGCAGCAACATTGCTACAACGTTGCAAGATTGCATATTGCAGTGCAATGTTGCAGAGACATTGCAGTGATATTAATTTGCAATATTACTTTAGCAAATATTGAAACAATATTTCAAAAATATTATAAAACATAATATAATATTTTTTATTTATTTGCTAGTTATTTTTGTTACTTGTATTTCAAATTCCCATATATTACTGAATTACTGGTAATACTTAATCACTAATATTTTTTCAGTATTTCTTAGTATGATATTTTTAGTATAATTTTTTAAGTCGCCAATAGGTGCTCAACTTATCGCAAAAGTTACATATTACACATCACTGCAACGTTTCTGTCACCAGAAAAATGACTGTTAATTACGTGGTAACGACGTGACAGTCACGTTTCAACATCAATTGCGACGTCGCTGTAATGTTACTTGCGACGAGTTAGCACGTCACTGCAACGTACTTGCCACGTACAGTGCAGTCAGTGTAGTATGCGTATTAAGTATTTTTTATTATCATATATACACACGTACACACATACCAGCGCAACTAAACATATTAGGATAAATGTAACCCATACTAACTGCATTGATAAAATCGTCTTCCAGATAGCGGGCCAGTTATATATCCAACATTGGTGCGACGTTAGCACCAATATTGGTATCAGTGTTTGTGCCAGTATTTACAGCAAGGTACATTCCTATACCGAATCTATACTAGCACAACACTGGCGGCCAATACTAGTACAACGGCAATCGGTACTGTCCCAATATTGGACCGCTTTAATATTTTTACGTGGGAAATATAATCATGCTCTCAACAAACATGAAGACGTCAAATTATATATTATCTTTATATTATTGTGCACACGTTAGAATCGTGTGATTAATACGTTATTAAAACATCATTTAAAGTTATTATATTTGCTAGACTATATCCTGTATTATCCCAGTAAGCAAATTGAGCGCAGACTGCACGCAGATTGGCAGCAAATTTTATCAAAAATCCACAGCAAAATCATAGCCATCTGTGTCTATATTAGGCTACGGTTTTGGCGACAGATCTTACTGTCGGACAATTGGTGCAAAATTTGCAGCAAAAACCGCGCAAAGCTTGCAGCGCAGCAAGGTCTGCGCGGTTTCCGCTGCCAATCTGCCGTCAAATCGCTACGAGCTCTGCGCGGTTTTTGCTGCAAATCTGCAGCAATTATCCGACAACAAGCTCTGCCGCATATCTGGCGGCAATTTGGCAGCAAGATTTGATATAATAGATCCCACATTAAATTTGTTATCTATTTGCCATCAAAAGTTAATAGCAATTTCTGCTCGAAATCTGTTCGCACAGGTTTGGCTATCTGGATATGAAAATATATCTTTATAGAGAGAATTATAAGTATATATTATTGGCAAACATACTAATTTAGATATATATGAGGAGATTCTCGGTAGTCTAAGTTTTCATATATTATGCATTAACATTAGCATTAACATTAGCATTAGTTTTCATATGGTACAAGCTCTAAATGTAGATTTAATATGTTCTTCGTGATATGTTCTATTTTTCTAGATACAGGCACAACAATTCTGAGGCATTCTATGAGCCCTTATTTGGCGAACATGATGGTTTCTACTTCAAGGAGAACAACGCAAGAGTGTTAACATTAGAAATGAGTGACAATGTTGCATATACAAACATGTAAGTATCTTATATTTTTTATAAAGACATCGTCCTAATTTTCTCTCTATTTCTAATAGTAATAACAATTTATTAATTGAATAGGATATATTTGGTACAAAGGAACAGATTACTTTTAATTCGAATCATTTATGAACGATATACATTCTGTCAAATAAATACCGGCAATTATTCATTTCAAAAGCCCGCGTAAAATGTATGAAAACAAATTTTTTATTGTAAGTTGGTACCAATGTACCCAATTGTCACGTATAGTTTTGGCGCCATCTGTCAACCAGTTTGTTTACAGCTGTTGGTTTTGTTAGTCGACTTCAAATGTACTCTGTGATTTTTAAAATGGATAAAAATATCGAACAGAGTTTACCTCAAATTTTGTGTTGCCAACGAAATTTCTTGTGCTGTGTTGAAAATGTTGGAGTAGGCCTACGGTGAGTCAGCTTTATCGAAAATACGAGTATACGAGTGGTATAAAGCATTCAAAGAAGGCCGAGAAGTGATTGAAAACTTGCTTCGTTCTGGTCTTTGATTGACGAACACATCGACAAAATAAAGGAAATGGTAATGGAAAATCGTTATTTAAGCTTAAGAGAGATGGCTCAGGATTTGGACATGTCTCACGAATCCATTCGCATCATTTTAGTTCATATTTTGGATATAAGACGCATCGTGGCACGGTTTGTGAGCTGAATTTTCTTCAAAAAGAGCACCGCAAACAGGTTGCTGGAGATATGTCTGAACGAGCCAATTTAGACCCTACATTCATGAAACGCATCATAACGGTGACGAGACGTGGGTTTATAAGTTTGACATGCAAACCAGCCATCAAGTTTCAGAATGACGCTTCGATAATCCAAAACCGAAAAAACCACGTCAAAGTCATGTTGACAGTTTTCTTTGACTATCGTGGTGTGACTGACGTGGTGTTATCCACTCGAAATTTCTTCCGGAGGGACAAACAGTCAATAAACAATATTATCTGGGCGTTATTATTTGCACCGAATGAGGAGGAGCGTATTATCTGGGCGTTATTATTTGCAACGGTGGAGACGGACATACATGGACAGCAGGTTTTAAAGAATAGCAACCTTTGACTTTGAGAGACTGATAGCTGTACCATTTGGTACAGTAACATTGTTTCTCTCTGTAGTCACCGTGCGCTCGGGATCGCGCCAGAGTTAATTATCCACGAGTTCAATAACCCCATAATTCTAAACTCTATAACCATAAACCCTAAGCTTCATAACGCGATAACCCCGAAATTCATAAACCCGGAACTTCAAACCTCATAACCAGGTTTTCAGATTATGGAGTTCAGGGATATAAAGCTTAGAATCACGAGGTTGTAGAGTTTGGGATCAACAGATCTTAAAGGATAGCAGCCTTTGACTTTGAGAGATTGACAGCTGTACCATCTGGTACAGCTATAACAATGTTATAACAATGTTATAACATTGTAATAACAATGTTTCTCTCTGTAGTCGCTATGCGCTCGGGATCACGCCAGAGATGTTGCTTCCGAACGGCATCTTTGAGCGTTATCTAGGGAGAGGAGAGTGTTGTGAGCGTGGAGCGTCAGGTAGCCCGGTGGTTTAGAGCAATCGCCCATAGAAGGAGGAGAGTGTACTAGGTGGCGACGGGACACCGTGCTTTCGGGACCTGCGTCTTTTTCGTTCCGGAGAGAGAAAAATATCGAGAGCGCGGTTTGCTAAGCCGGAACTCGAACCCGGGTTTTTTGCTTGCCGGGCGATTGCTCTAAACGACTGAGCTATCTGACGCTCCACGCTTACGACACGCTCCTCTCCTTAGATAACGCTCAGAGATGCCGTTTGTAAGCGATATCCGATATTCAATAGGAGAACAGCTTTCCAATTGAAGAATTCAATAATTTGCAAGTTAGTGTAACTGCAATTTCTACTTGAAGACCAGATGAAAAACTCGGTTGTAAGAACAGAAAGATTCTAAGAAATTTTTGCTCTGCCAATTGCTCTCACAAGATGATGCATGGAACCGTTCCTTTCCGATTCGAATGAGCTTGAAATATGTTGTAATGTAAACTAAAACAAGGAAATATTAAATATTTGCTGTCCTTTAGGGAATGATAAAACCATAGAAGAAGGAGGGCGTACTAAGTAGCGACGTGACGCCGTGCATTCGAGATCTGTGTATCTTTTCGTTCAGAGAAAGAAAAATATCGAGAGCGCGGTTTTGTTAGCCCGGGACTCGAACCCGGTTTTTTCGCTTGCCGGGCGACTGTTCTAAACCACAGGGCTACCTGACGCTCCACACTCACGATACTCTCCTCTCCCTAGATAACGCTTAGAGATGCCGTTCGGAAGCGACCATGGTATTATGAAGTTTAAGGTAATTGAATTAGGGGTAACAGACAATGTAGTTTGAGGTTATTTTTTGGGATTATGTTTACTTTTTTTCAAATTTCTGCCAGTATGATATTATAGTAGAACTATTCACGAGTATTTAAAAAAAAAGTTTTATCAAAATCGATGCAGATTTGTGATGTAGGCAGAATTTTGTCCGCCAAATGTGCTTTTTGGCACACTGTACGTCGGAAATCAGACGCGGTGTAAATCCTCCATAAGAATTGTGTGCAATATAATATAATATAATATAATATAATATTATATAATAACAAATATTTAAAAAAATATCATTAATTGAAATATACTTGACAAATAAAATATAGCCAGTTGTTAGAGACTTCATAATATCTAAACTGTATGAACGATTTTGCAGCAGTGAATATATCAATTACATTAAAATAAAGTTAACTTATACGAGTTGCTTTTGAAAGCGTCACGGTTGTTATTATTCAAATAATGTATTACATATAGTTTATATATACAGGGTGTCTCATACTCTCTCCCGGGCATTTTGTGGGGACGTAGAATAGGTTGATGTGAACATAAAAGCCCTATACCGTTTTGCAAAATTTGCAATAATAGTCGAGATATTAATTAAAAAATATTAAGGACAAACGAACGCTGTATGGTAGAGGACAGACCGCTCGAGTCATAGCGCGGCCCAGTAATAAAGCGCGCGATGTCGCGCGCGGTGATTGGAAGACAATGTATCACTGCCTATTCTTATTTCGGCGCGGTGTGGCAAGACGTAGGAGCGCGGTATAAGTATTGGCAATGGTGCATTGTTTTCCAATCACCGCGCGCGACATCCGCGCGCTATATTACTGGGCCGCGTTGTAACTCGAGTGGTCCATCCTCTACCACTCAGCGTGCGTTTTTCCTTAATCTTTTTTAATTAATATCTCGACTATTATTGCAAATATCGCAAAACGGTATAGGACTTTTATGTTCACATCAACACATTCTACGTCCCCACAAAATGTCCGGAGGAGAGTGTGAGACATCCTATATATAAGGTATAATAAAAAGAAATCCATTTTTTTTTCCAATAGATGGCTTTAGTAATGTATATCTCGCGTTGTACAAGTGCGATCGGTTTACGCTAGATGGCGTTAGAAAGATAAGATTTCGTACTAAAAAAACTTCTCAGACAGTTTTGTGATTGTTTGACTCAGTATTGTTTGAGCGCGCGTCAAAGATGGACACCAGCAAAGAGAAAATACGCCATATTTTACAGTTTTTCTTCGATAAAGGCGAAAACGCAAGCCAGGCGGCTGAAAATGTGAATAGTGTTTATGGTCCTGATACTGTAACAGCCAATCACGTGCAATTTGTTTTCGTCGATTCCGTTCCGGTAATTTTGATATCAAAGATGCACCACGCTCTGGAAGGCCAATTGTCGAAAATGTCGATAAAATAA